CTTTTGCTTTTGAATCTGATTCTCCCCTTGTTAGTTGAGTAAGTTTGTATTTAACCATGAATTACATTCTGTAATTTATCTCTAGCCAATGTGTTTTCATGGGCTAATAGAGAAAAATCCTTCATGCTGAATAGATTCCCAGGGATTATATTACAACTCTTAATTTTTTGTTTGATTCAATAACAATTGGGAGTTGAAGCCAGATATATTTGGACAATCATATATAGCGTTGGGCTAATGCTGCACTAGGGCAAGAGAGAATCAGGTGCAAATTCCTATTGGGTCATGAAATCCTGACCACTTTTGCCTGAGCTCCCTGATGTGGCTGCTATGAGAATAAAATTAAAGAAGGAATACTATGCTTATGAAAGCCAGTTTGGTATAGTGGTTAAAGTGTCAGGCTAGAAATCATGAGTTCTAGTCCCATTTTAGACACAAAGCCAGCTCGGTATTCTTGGGCCAGTCAGTTTCTCCCAGCCCCAGGAAGCAGGCATAGCAAACCATTTCTGTTATCTTGCCAAGAAAACAGCAGGGACTTGCCAGAAGCCATCACACACACACACACACCCCTTATGATCATTATCTTGGCAATTCCAAAAGCAAAAATATAAAGGTAACAATAAAATGTACTGAATAAAAGTGCATCTGTTCCGAGTGTTCAAACCTAAATCTTTAAAATAAACAGATACATCAAGTGTTCATCATACCGCATTATTTCCTGCATCAATGTAATGTATGCAAGAACTAAAAAAAAGAAAATGTCTACAAGAAGAAATAAAACAAAACACTAAACATCTGCATTTTTTAAAAAAAGAAACTCCATTCTGCTACTTATCCTTTCTTCTGTTTGGATCTGTGGTATAAAACATGGTGTGTTTTGTCTGCATAGCTATAGTTAGAATAAGTACAGTCAAGAAGAAACACTAGATTTAGATGTAAAGAACGTACACTTTAAAAACCACAACGAGCAAACCTTGCAAAGCCACATGGGTTCACTGTGGGTACATGTTGGCATCTCAAGCAATGACAAAAATACGGGGTTGATTTTTACAAAGGGCCTTTAATTCTTAAAATATCTGAAGGCTTTTTTTAAAATAAAGTTATGACTTATATTACAGTGCTCTGTGCAATGCTGAATTTCTCTGATGGGGCTTGAATGCATATTTTGATTTTAGTACATGTTACTTTGTTTCCTGTATTCCATTTTAGCAATGAGCTCTGACATTCAGCATGATGACAAGAAAGGTTTTCTTAAAAAAAAAACCAGTTTAAAAAACCACGGTTTAATCTTGTTTAAAGATTACGTTTGCCAGTTAAACTGAACAAACAGATATAAGCATAACTCACCTTGACTCTTTTATGCTACTTTCTACTGATGAAATACAATTTTATCATGTGACTGTTCAAAGCTACAATGGCATTGAAAAATATGGGCATGCAACCAGTCCCTGAAGTTCCAGCCATTGCAGCATTGTGGTTATGTCCCAGGGAGTCGTGTAGTTGTGGTTGCCATTTGTTGCCCTTCTTGGCAGCATTTCAACTTCTCCCCTCATGATGTTGCTATAAGGCATTGCAGGCCAAAACAACTAGACATATAGTTTTTCCCCCCATGCTATCACTGTTAAACACCTAATTGCCACATCACTATCTTATACCTAAAGAAATTTACCCATGTAGTAGGGCTGTATTGTTATTAACTTTCTCATCTTTCCTACTACCTTCTCCTATTGGTATCTTATGATTTATCATTTGTTGTTTGTCTCTTATGATTTATGATCTATGATTTATCATTTTGTTGTTTGTATGTAGACTGAGAGCTTATACACCATAGGCAAATTCCTTGTGTGTCCAGTCACACTTAGCCAATATTACAATTCCAAACTTCAAAGGCAATGGGGAAGCCAGCAGGAAAGGTCACAGGTCAGTCCTGTAAGTTGCCTGCAGCACCTCGCACACATTTCCAGGCCTCCCCCACTCCCACTGGGTCTTCTGCCAGTCCTTGTTTAATGACCTGCACATCTTGGGGTTACGATGGCGATTGGGACTGCCAGGATTGCCATGGCTAAGTGATGAAATCACGGGACAGTTACACTTTACAACCTCGTTAGATACTGTAAATGACCCAAATAAAGTAATTTAACAAACAATTTTATAACTTATAATAAAATCTAAGATTTAATATCTAAGAGATAGGAGTTGAGGAAAGAATTTCATCAAAATGGTATTAAATGCTAAATGATCTTTCAAATCAATTAGATCTTTGACAAAACCATTTTTTGGAACTACCATCCAAAAGTAGAATCTGTGGAAACAAGGTTTATTTATCAAATGTCACTGGAGCATGAAAATAATGCAAAAATGATATGCTGTATTTATAAATATATTCTCTCTTGTTGCTTTCAGAGAATGTATTATGGTAGATAGCTTTGATATAATTTTGATTTCTAAGATTTGGCACAAAAGAAGTGATAAAAAAAATAATTGCCTGATTACAATATGCCTTTTGCCTTAATTTCCTGCTAAAATATATTCATATTTCTAAAGAAATTATATCAGTAAAAATGTAAGATTTAGAAATATTGGTTTAAGTTCTTTTCAAGATATTTTATTGCTAATGTTTCCATTTAGATTACATTATTGGCAAGGCACTGAATCAGAAAAGCTTACAGGGCTTACATAGTAAGTCAAAAACTTCAGCTAGGAAATGTATTGGTTAATAGTAATACTACTTTTTGACAATATGCAATTTTAATGCTGAGGTAATTATTCTCTTGGGGTGGGATTATGAATGGCACTGGATGTCTTATCTGAAGCCTCAGAAGAAGTGATTTTAAAAAGTTACATTGTCAAGTACTATTTGAAATGATTTTAAAAAATATGTTGCTGTGCGCTAATAATTACATTCCAGAGAACGCTCAAAGATTAAATTTCTCTTCTGAAACATGCTAAAATGGCAAGAAATAGGGGTGGTCTATAGGAGTAATGGAACATTCCAGAATTCTCCAGAATATTTTATTTCTTGGAGTAGGTTTACACATCCCTAGTTAAAATTGCTTACTGTAATAAGAGGTCTAATTGATCAGACAGCTCAAAGCCAAATTTAGATCTGTTTTTTATTCCCAGCGTGACCAGCCTAACAAAAACAGGAAGCCTTTAACAAGGCATTCTTGCTTCCCTAATTTCAGATGTATAGCATATGCACTTAAGATAAGCTAAGTTGTTTTGTCTCATATGCCATGAAATCTCATAGGTGCATCTCACCAATTGTAAAAACAACTTTATAGTACTAAAAACTTGCCTTTTTTTGACATCCAAAATCAATTGCCTGAAATAGCTTCCTTCACAGCTTAATGACAGGAAGCGCCTTGGCCTCAATTATTGGATGCTGGATCTGAATTTCCAGTATCCCTGGAACCTGCTACCTACTGTTATCCAGATTTTTGTAGTTCAGATCTGATAGCCTGATTCAAGTCAGACAGAGCAACAGTTTTTCCAATTAATATGCTCAGTAACTGATATTCAGAGATACAGAATCTTACCTGCAGTCATCTTATGTTTCCCTGCAAAGCTTTAACTTCCATGAATTCAACTAATCTTTTGAAAACTGGACCATGTTGGGGATTTACACTTTTCTAAGTGGTTGCAATTTCTATAAGTGTTTGTGTGAAAAATCATTCCATTTGTCTGTTCTGAATTTTCCCCTATCCCATTTCATTCAGAAACTTGGGATTTTATTTGATAATTGTATAAGTAATTGCATCCACTACATACTTCCTAAGACTCATCGTTTATCTTAAAAATAAGCAATTAAAATAACAACAGTAACAATTTCACTTACCTGACAGAGAATCCTTTCAATGTGCCCTCCCTTGAAGAATGTGTATGTTGTGCTAAATTTAGCTGGGAAAAGTATAGGCAACTTTACTAATAGGCATTTGGGTGCCAAGCCATAAAGGACTTTGAAGATAAACATCAACACTTTGAAATGGATCCAGAAGTTAATGCAGTGACTGCAGCATATATGTAAACATTGGGAAATCTATTTCTAATGGATGGAAACTGAACAAGGAGAGATTTAACCTGGAAATAAGGAGAAACTTTCTGACAGTGAGAACAATCAACCAATGGAACAGTGGAATAATGGAAGTTGTGGGAGCACAATCACTTGAGAATTTCAAAGAGATTGGACTGCCATTTGTCAGAAATGGTGTAGGGTCTCACGCTTGGGCGGAGGGTTGGACTAGATGACCTACAAGGTCCCTTCCAACTCTGATTATCTGTTATCTGTTATCTGTTAATTAGTTGGTGGGAGATAGCATTATGGTCCAGCAGAAGCTTCTTCAAAAATACATACATGGATAGAGTGTTGCAATATAGTGATAAGGACATGGATCATTGTTGTCAAGCTCCCCTGATCCAAAATAGCCTGCAACTGCTGCACTAATCAAAACTGGAAAAAAGTCCTCCTTACTCATGCCTCCCATCTCCTCTGCCAGTTGTGAATTCAGGGGGACCTATCTGCTGGTTTAAGAAGAGCACAACTTACAGTTAAACATGGAATCAAAATCAATCATCATAAATAGTATAAATAGTACCTCTATCTTGCAAGGATTTAATTTGAGCTCCATTAGATCAATTCAGGCCTTCACAGACTCCAAACATCAAGACAAGATTGTGACACTATCTCTAGTCCAGGGGTCCTCAAACTTGACAGCTTTAAGACTTATGGATTTCAACTCCCAGAATTCCACCCCCAGTAATGCTGACTGCTTCAGGCAAATATTGAAATCCAGGATCTAACTTCAAATGTGAAGGAATTTAGAAGCCCCTACCATCTCACCACCACTCATGACTCAGAGCTTTCCAAATGAAATAATGTTTCCCAGCTGCTGCCCAGCAATTTTGGAAAGGCAGCATCTCTTTACCCTCTGCTTTGAACAAAAACTAACTTCCAAATTACAGACTTATGATTTCGGTAGAACTTCAAGACCAATCAAATGTGAAATTAAAATTGCCCAGATTCACTGAGTAAGAAATAAATCCAAATGTCTGAAATTGAAACTGTCAAGGTACAATAAAAGGATCCCAGAACTATTTACCTGTATCCCTGAGTCTATGGAATGGTTGCTGTTATCATTATGCAAGAACACATACATCTCATATACACAAATGGAGCATGGCAAGCCATTTTTCAACTCCACTGCATGACATAATAATGTCTGCTGTGCAAGTTCCTACAACCAAGGCCCCCAAGCAGCTTGTGCAGATGGATCACAGCGCGGATCCTCTTCTGGGTAGAACACAGGGACAGAGTTCTTATAGTAATGGCGGAGTCGCAACAGCAGTTTTTTCACAATGTCAGGATATTGTTCTGACAAATCATTTCTTTCTTCAGCATCATGAACAACATCAAATAGCCAAAGCTTCTTTGTGGATGGATCTAATGACAAAGTATTTGACTCATTGAATAAAGATGGTGGTGGAAACCAATGGCTGCACCCTATAAAGAGAAGATCAAAGATTAGCTGGGAAAATATTTGCCTCATAATTGGAATCCAACATGTTTGCAGATCTAGGTTCTTCAATTACATTGGCATGGGATTGAATTTTCCACCTATATTTGATTCTGTTGTGGTGGTAATGGGTCAGTTCTTGTTAAATGAACAAGAGGTATCAGGTACTGTGAAGAGAAATTAAACATTAATAAAAATTAGGATTCCTGATATAACATGTATGAAAATGTGCACGAGGCAAAGCCACTTGGCTGCAGTTTATTACTGTTTGGCTTGTTTTGATATTTTCCTTTATATTTCACCATACCTCATTCATTCCCTGTGTGTGTGTGTGTGTGTGTGTGTGTGTGTGTGCGCGCGGGCGGGCAGGAAAAAAACAAGTCACAAGACAGAGATAAGCAATGTTTTCAAGATACAAAAAAAGGAACTTAAGTGCCACCAAGTGTATAGTCTCCCCATTAAACTGCATACTAGCTTAACTTTTCTCCTTTTCAGGGTGCTACAAGCATCAACGTTCAACAAAAGCGATGGGTTTTTCATTGATGTTGTTCTACATTATTTTTGTCTTCTCCACTTGAGATTCTTTCTTCAAATCTCGAGCTTTTTAGGCAAATCAGTTTTTTAAAGATTTGATGGAAACAAGAAGATACATTTAAAGATTGGAACAAGAGAGCTTCTATTTGGCTATCTGGATTAGTTTTGAAATTCTGGCAAATTTTGAATTGAAGACAGCTATTTAATCATACTTTATAGTGAATCATTGTGGAATATATTATACTGAAGAGTAATATATTAATGCTTTAAGTAAATATTTCTCAATCTTGGCGGCTTTAAGATATGTGGATTTGAAGTCCCTATTCTACTTCATCAAGCTGCTAAGATTGCGAAACACTGCTTTAAGGAAAGTGGGCCCAATCCTGAATCTTACATCTTCCAGGTTTTTTTTCCTCCACTCTATACATCTACACAGGAATTGATTAGGAAAAATGAGAAAATTCTGATCAGGAAATAATTAAGAAAATAATGGAATGTGATGAAATGAGTAGATTGACAATGGCAATTAGAGAACAAAAGGAAAAAGATCATTATAAAATTTGGAGTTTGTTTTATGAATGGCTAGATAGAAGAGTAAGGAATTGAAATATGTAAGTACAGTATAATATTTATTACTGATAAATATTATAAATATATAATAAATGAATGAGTTAGACAGAGTAAGAAAATGAATGTGAAATATATTATTGAAAATCAATAAATATGTTAGGGCTAATACAATAAGTGATATATGTGATATAAAATTCTGATTAGAAGGATTATAAACATATATAAGTATGTATGATAATGGTATTATGTGCACAAAGAAATGTGTACCCAACTGACACACTGATGAACAGAAAAAAGGTATTATTTGTTTGTTTTTGTTGTTGTCATAAAAATAAAAAAAATATTTAAAAAAAAGGAATTGATGAGGAAAGAAGAAGCTGATTTACCTTTTTTGTGACTAAAAATGTGTCCTTCCATTTTTCTCTTTCTTTTTTTCTTTTTTAAAAAAGGCACCCTTGTAAAAACTCACATTAGTTTTTATTCCTCCTATATTTTTATTCAGTAATTATGACCCCACCAAGCATAGCTGCTGTGTAATCAGATACTCTTTGAAAATACAGACTGAAGGACAGCCCTGCACTAATACAACTATGTATGCAAACTGTTGGGGTTGTTTTGTTGGTTGCTATTTCTGAGTAAAAGAAAGCATGAAAGATGAATTAAAAGAAAACAAAAAGTTTCAGAACAGCATGGCATAAATAAGAGACTTTCTTGCAAGTATATTTGGTAATTCCAGTCCAAGCTTAGTGCTTGAAAAAGAAAGAAGTGGTAGCTACCACCGAGCAAACATGCTTACAATAATAATCTCCTGCGGTTTTAATGGATAGAAGAAAGTTCTGTCCATTGGCAGAAGAAAATGTTCCATCTAGCTTTTTTGTTGTTGTCAAGGCAAGTGATCACACCTTCTGAAAGAATGGTTAGGTGCAACACTGGTTGTGAGGCCTATCCAGGGCCTAGATGCATTTTTATAAAGGTCGTGCTAAGGAACGGATACTTTGTTTTAATCAACTTCCCCTTTAAATTTATTAAGTGAAATAATCTTTTTTTTAAAATCAGCTTAGGAAAGACAGAGAATCCAGCAAGAGCAAAACACGATTTCAAAGGATCTCCACTTTGCAAGTCCTGCTCTGAAGCATCAATTGCTTTCAAAATTGTCAAGTAACCAGTGCTCAACAAACATTTTCCAAATACCGCTAGAAATTTACCAGGATTGCCTGTGAGTAGTTTCCATTTTCCATGTCGAACTGCAGCATGTATGGAGGTATTGAAAATGGTGTCTTCCCATGAAATATAATTATTCTGTGATGAACTTTTGTGGTTGCTGACAGCACCTAAAAGGAGAAAAGAAAGCTGTATAAGGATGATTCTGAAAATTGGGTGACAATCAATATTGAGTATTTCAATCTTACTCTGTATTTTGAAAGAAACACTTCAAAGTGTTCAAAGTGAGATACATTTTTGCCTAAGGACAGAGAAAACATTTGTACAATGTTCAAAGCAAGCCTTTCCTATCTTGGCAACTTTCAAGGGATTAAAAATATCAGATTTTCTAACCAGTTACTCTGATGATAGCTAACGGTATTTTTAAAGTTTAGTCAACTAGCTTCATCCTGAAGCCTAAATAATTTGCTCATATGTACAAATGTATATGCAAATGTGAGAAGTGGAGGCATATTAAAGAACAATGAATAATGCAATATTTGGACAATCTAATTTACAAGATTTATAGGGAAAATATGTTCAGCCATGTGAGAGGTTTGAGAATATTTTTCAGCTTTTAATTTGGTCCTGGCAATAATGTAGATATTATAATGAACATCTGTTCCAAGCCTTGCAGACTAAGGAGATGGATGCAACCTGGGCTAACTGCTATCCAATAATACTAGAAAAAATGTACGGTAATAATTTAAACAATTCTCAATAACCCTATTTTTCCCAGGTTTACAACGGGCTGCTCAAAATAGCTTGCAACTTATAATTATTCTGTCCAACTTTTCAAAACCTCAAAATCCATTCAGTGAAAAAGCAAAGAATTAAATCTTAAGACGATAATGTGTCTTTGAATTCTAAGATTAGTTTACTTTACTTTATTGTCATTGCACCTCGTACAACAAAATTAAATACCATCTTCAGTGTACATTTTATGACTATGAAAATAAACACAAACGCACATCGTTCACATTATCAGTTGTCACTGCAGGTAATCCTTGACTTACAACCATTTGTTTAACAGTCATTTGAATTTATGATGGCACTGAAGGCATTTATGAAGTTATGGCTATTGCTGTGCCTTTGTAGTCACATGGTCAACATTCGTGCACTTGGCAATCCATTCCCACTTATGACCCCAGAGGTACTGCATCTCTCTCACCCATCTCCTTAATATGTGACCTTTTGGCCCCCACTACTACCTTGCCTTGCCCCAGATGACTTTCACCTTATTGCTACTTCTGCTAATGAAGCTTGCTTGGCGTGGCTCTGGGCTGTATGGCTTTGCTCTGTAAAAATGGGGGAGAAAGCTGAAAAAAAGCCTATTCATTCTCTTTCTCATAGCACTAAAGCAGCCCCATATAGTCCAATAGTCAGGCCAGATACATCTGGAATCACTGGAAGTGAGAAGATGATGGCGAAAGTCAGCTGGGGTGGCAGAGTGTAGAGGTCTCGGAGTGGAGGGTGGGCGAAGGCAAGTGGGATTGGACTGGGGAGGCTGCAGCTTCCGGGAGCATTTCAAGTAGTCCCAGAGCTGCACTGTTCTGGGTCTGCTTACTGCCCTGAAATGCAGGGTGGAGGGCAGAGATAGGAGAGACACAGGTGGGAGTGCCTTTCCTCAGTTTTGGCAAATATTCCAATAAACTTTGATTAAATGAAACTTTCATTTAAATTATTTTAGGGTATCCTACAAATAATTTTTTTCAAGACAATCTGAAAACCATATTTGAATCGAAATGCAAGGCTTCTAGGATACCGCAAGGAAAAGAATGCAGGAGGGATATATTAAAGTGAATCTGAGAAAGCTGTATTAATTATCTATTGATTTGGGAGCAAATTTAAAATGGTTGTATTGAATTGTAATCTCTGTATGTGTTGTGGTTAGCTGGCAGCAGGTGCAGATGGCTGAGGAGAGCGATGACTCTGATGAAGGGCCAAGACCATCAGGGAGTGGACTGCTGCCTTCAGGGATTGTGGGGGCTGGCAGCAGTGACGAGGAGGTTCCCGAGGAGCCTGTGCCAAGTGCGCGTGAGCGCAGGATGATTCGTAGAAGAGAACACCTGGAGCAGCACAGGCAACTCGGGAGTAAGGATGCAACATAATGGCCCCTCCCTCCAGGGAACATAAGGTTTCAAAAGGTTTTTGCTTTTGCAGAAAGCAAAAACGTTCTAAGGATTCAGCATTGTGATTCAGCACTCCGGCTTATCTGAAGAATTCTGTCAAGGCTTTTCTGGTTGGACTAATTGGCTGCAAGCCATCTTTTATCTACAAAGAAGTTATTTGTAGATTAAAGCTGAGAAGGTTTGAGTTGCTGCGTTTGTTTGAGATTTTCTTGCTGGTAACCGGGTTGGGTCAGAACAGTGTGTTCTTAAATCTGTGAGGATGTGATAATCTTCCAGAATTCAAAATCAAACTGTATCATACCCCAAATTAACCTTCTTCATTTTTCATATGAAACAGAATATTCTACCAGTACAACTTTCATCCCTGGTAATAAAACAGATATATAAATAGAAAAAGAAACACTCTGCTGCCTTTTCATGATATTCAGAATTTGTTCCATGAACCCCACTGATATTTTATCACCTGAGTAGATCCTCTTACTTTCTTCAAATATTCATGAATGTAATAAATACATTGTACTCTTGTTTTCTTTAGTATTGAATATATTAGGATTAGCTGGTTTTTTTAAAAAAAGTTTTAACTAATATTTTATCACGAATGGTTTTATTTTATTATGCCCCATTTTTAAGAAAAGATGGACTAGAAATAGAAATGAATAAAAAATCAAAACAAATCATACTATAAAATGCAGAGAAGCCAGTTGAAAATAAATATTCAACATTTGAGCCAAAGCAAAAGCTAAATAATTACTTCAACAGCAGGCAGAGATCAGCAAAGCAGGGACAGTTTTCAATTCCCCCAGGAAAGGCAGTTCTACACAGTAGAAATTCTTGTGTCTGGAGGCCTTCCACCCTTAAATATAAGAATCTAGGTTCAGACTATGTTTTGTAAATAAAGACTTTTATTGAAGTTCTTTTACTGATTATAGTTAAAGATACTGTGCTATTCTTCCTTCTGAATTTCACTCATCATATCACTATATTCCAGGTGTATCAAACTTGATTTCATTGAGGGCCGCATCAGGGTTGTGTTTGATCTTGGGGGCTGGGGGGGCGTGGCCAGCTCAATGTCACTCATTGAGGCTTCATGTTTGACCACGACGGCCCTCCTGGGCTCCGTTTTCAGCCACGATAGCATCTGCAGCCTTCTGCCAGTGAAAACGGAGCTTGGAAGGGCTACGCATGGCCTCCTCAAGCTTCGTTTTCGCTAGAAGAAGGTTTCAGGAGGCTATTGTGGCCCAAAACGGAACCTGGGAAGGCTCCCTTTTCACTGGCAGAGCCACCGCAGTTTGGTCCTTCACTGTTTCCAGGGTGCCTGTGCGCCAGTTCTAAGCACCCTGCAGGCTGGATCTAGCTTCCGGGCCTTAAGTTTGACACCCCTGCTGTATTCCATTCCATCCTGGAGTGGAAGAATCCTATGCTTAGCTCAGAATATTCTTAATCTTGTCCCATATCAAAGAATGGGTCAATGAAAAATGAAAACATTAGGTAGTTCATAACTGAGGTGTCTCTTACATTCTCAACAAACGCAACATGATTAGGGCAAGATACAAAAAAGAGCTAATTTCAATAACTTTTGAGTACTTTATGAAAGGAATGACAATATTGATTACTTGAATGCTGTAGAACTGTAACTCCCATCATTCCCATCATTTCTAGCCAATATGACTAAAGATAGGAGAAGCTATATTTCATATAGTCCTCCAGATAGCTAGCATTATTAGTCTGATCAACAGAAGCATGATGGAATGCCTATGCGCAGGTTTTTTTTAATCACTTAGATTTAACAAGCCTAATAGAACAGCTAGTTTACAAAGCTTAATAATAAGATTTCTATACATTAGTAAGGGTACACAGGGAAAACATTTGAAGGTAATGTAACACTCCCTAATTGCTAAGACTATACTATATAATTGTAAATTAGCCTTATTGTTAAGCTTTGTACTTTTACTATTATTATTACAATAGTAATATATGACATTATGGTAGTCCTCAACTTATAACCATTCCTTTAGTGACTATATAAAGTTACAATAGCACTCAAAAAAGTGTCTTGCAACTGTTCCTCACACTTATTATCATCACATGTTGATCGCGATCATGTGATCAAAATATGGGTGCTTGGCAACATAGCATACATGTATGATGGTTTCAGAATCCTGGAATCATGTGATTGCTATGGGTGACTTTCCCAGCTAGCAATCAAACAGTCAGTGGAGGAAACCAGATTCTTTTAATGACCACAATTCACTAAAATGCAATGATTCGTTTAACAACAATGACAATAAAGGCTGTAAAATTGGGCATGACCCACTTTAACAATCTTGCTTAGCAAGCAAAATTCTGGTCTCAACTGTGATCATAACTTGAGGATTACCTGTATAACTTTCCCAAGGGTGGGATCCGACAGGGTTAACTACCAGTTCGGTCATTTACAGAGGTTCAGTAATTTACGATGTGCTTCCCTGCAAGCTGCTGGCATGCGCCTGTAAATCGTCATCAGCATGCTGCATGCAGAGAAGCAGCCTTTCAAAAAGCCCTTTTTTCCTGCTTTTTTAACTGCAGCTGTGCCTCACCCGGCAGCTGAAGTTGAAAAAATCAGGAAATAAAGGTCAGGTAAGAGCCCGGGTGGGCGGGTAAGCAAAAACATCAGCTGACATAGAACCAGTTCTATGTCTGCTGCTCTTCAGAGCTACCAGTTCTACAGAGGTGGACAGAACCAGTAGAAACCCATCCCTGAACTTTCCCCAACTTGCTGGACCTCCCAATATGTGTTGCTCTACAAATATGACAATTCACAGCCAACAATAAAAACTCTGCTTGCTTGGAGTCATGGCGGTAGTAGTCCAATATATTTGGTAGGCCATCATAACAACACTGGAGAGTTGAATTAGGGAGGTGACTTGCCCCAGGCTATTTTAGGGGAGGGTTGGATTTTCTCCATTCTCATTAAAAGCAATCTATCTTTGTGTTTATACAGTATTTCATAGTCTGTGAAA